GGGGAAACAGCCATGACTGGTACCCAGGCACTGCAGGCTTGGCTTGTGTAGCATTCCCCCTGGGCCTTGGTGATGGGTCCTCAAATATGTGATCATCTTTCTGCGTGCCAGTCTGGAAACAGTGATATACTCTGCCCTTATGCTTTCCCCATTTCTCTCCTTTGTTGAGGTGGGAGAACAAGGTTGTTACTTTGAAGGCCTGTGAAGACTGAGATCATCCTCCCTTACTAACACTTACTTGGATGTGGTTTGATTAGGGAAATTTTTGCCCTTGTTGTGGAAATCTTGTTTGGGGGTAGAAGCCCCAGTTCAAGCCTACCTTCTCTCTCTGTGAGAGAGCCATGCTCAGTTTTATAGGGTTTTAGTCCAGTGTACCCAGGAACAGCTCTGATCCAGACCTAAGTTGTGGCTAGGAGTCCTTACTCTGAAATCCATTAAACATGGTCACCCAATTCTACCATCTGTCAGCTGCAGACTTTGAATGAGTTGGGGAACCTTCCTGAGTCTCATTTTGCTCATCTCTGAATGAATGATGACTCATAGATAAAGTTAGGAGCAAATGTACATAAAGCTCTTTGATTATTTCTACACCTAATATACATTAGTAAAAAAGAATTATTAGGTGGAAACTGTTGTTTTGTGTTTGTCTTTGGAAAAGTCTAAAATTTGTTAGGCATGGTGGTACAAGCCTATAATCCTAGTACTCAGGAGTCTGAGGCAGGATGGTCACTGCAAATTCAAGGCCAGCCTGGACTACAGAGTGAAACCCTGTCTCAAAAAAAAGCTGAAAATTTGAGTATAAATATAGTTCTTCTGTTCCTTTATGGAACTTTTTTTTTCCTCCCCTTTGTACTGGCGATTGAACTCCAGACCTTGTGCTTATGAGGCAGGCGCGATGCAACTGAGATAAATCTGCGGCCTTTAATGGAACTTCTTGAGCCATGACTTTTGTCTTTTTTTTTTTTTTTTTTTTTTCCTCAGAAGAGCTGTAGGAAAGCCATCGGGATGAAGGTCAGTCTCCAATCTCCAATCTGTGAGGCTGCCTCTGAGGCTTGGCATTTTGTTTCTTTCTGGATTGTTATTTCCACAATAAATATGTTGGAAACAAGTTGAGGGCTTGCTGGCAATTCTCCTTCCTAGCCTGGCTTGCACTCTTCCTCTGTAGTGTAGGGGTTGACAGAGAGACTGCATTCTGCTTGTTTTGTTTTCAAACATGATCTCACTGTGTAGCCCAGGCTGGCCTCCAACTCACGGCAGTCCTCCTGACTCCCTTAGCCTCCTGGGTGCTGAGATTACAGGCATGAGCTACCATATTCAGCTTGCATTCTGCTTTGGACTCAAGAATGCTGCCCCCCAGCCATGAATTGAAAACTTTTAGAAGGTTTAGAATAAAAAAACTATAAAGTACATGGTTTGTTGTATCATGTTTTGTGTTGGGAGATGGAGTGTTGTGTGTGTTTGTGTGTGTGTGTAAGAAATGCCCTACAATCTCCAAAGCTCAGAGCCACAGTGATTTGGGAAGCAGAGCAGGGCCTGGGTGTGTTGGTAGGGATTTGCATATGGGGTGAGGGTCAACCTTAGAGTCAGGGAAGGAGTCCCCAAATGGGTAGGGACTTGGAGGAAAAGCAGAAACTGATGAAGCAGGTGAGGATATCCTTGTGGGGATTCACCCATACAAAGTCCCGGTGAGCAAGCACAGGACAAGTTGTGATTGTGTGTCTATCACTGGATCAGAGTAGAGGGAAATGGCTAGCGAAGAGTTCAGGAGTGGAAAATTGTGGAAACCTCCATCCACGTAGATGGGAAGGTTCCTTCTAACACTTTTTGGATGCCCCTTAGCTGTCATTTTCCTCAGAAACCTCACTGCTTCACTAGACCTTCTTTCCCTTTATTCCTCCACTTTTGCTTCGGCCAGATAGCTATGTTAGTATGTTTGTGGTACTGGAGATGGAACCCAGGGCCTTCACACTGAACTATATCTGCAGCCTTTTTTATTTTTTCTGTATTTTTGAGACAGTCTTACTAAATAACTCAGTTGCTCAGGCTTGGCTTGAACTTGCCTTTGTGCTTCAGCTTTCCAGAGTGCTAGGTGCTAGGATTATAGATTGGTGCCACTATCCCCAGCTAAATGAACTAGTTTTTATATTAGAAAGTTATCATACCGTTAAGAACAGTACTGCCAGGTGTGGTGGTGCATGCCTGTAATCCCACCACTGGGGAGGCTAAGGCAGGAGGATTGCCAAGAGTTTGAGGCCAGCTAAGACTACATAGTGAGTTCAAGGCCAGCCTGAACTACAAAGTGGGACCCTGTCTATATATCTTCAGTACATAATGATTATATTCATCATGGGAGATCCATACATGCACATAACACATTTTAATTCTTCCCCTTGTCTGTTTTTGTGCTCTCTGAAATCTAGTGCATACTTACAGTGATGGCGAACATATGACATACATGTTGTTTTTCTTTTAAGACAAAAGATGTTAATATATGAGTTTTTCTAAACTAAGACCTCAGTATTCAGGTTTGTTTTGTTTTGTGGTACTGAGGATTGAACTTAGCACCTTGTGCTTGTGAGGCAGGTGGTGATGCCATTGAGCTAAGCCCTTGGCCCCAGTATTCAGGGATTTTTTTTTTTTTTTTTTTTTTTTTTTTTTTTTTTTTG